TTCTCTTCAACAGAATCAAATGTAAGTATTAAAATCAAGCCTGTACAGCTGCACCCACCACAAGTCAAGACCTGAGAATTTGACAAGATGTATTTTCACACCTCTATTTGACACCGATTTCTTTCCTAAATGCTGCTGGTCAGCAGATCTGTTTCAAACCACTGTAGCAATACATAGAGTAATCGCTCTGGAGAACCTGAGGGCACACCTGTGGCTTCAGTACAAATCCACATCTCAATAAAAGTCTTCTAGCTTCATCTCCTATTCGTTTGCATAAAAACTGGAGCCGTCTCTCTACTCTTACATATAAAATAAATGTAAATGGTAGTGTGCACAGATATCCTAAGAACCTTAAATCCTGCATTTAATGATTAATGAAATTGTGTAACTTACGATCTCAATTCTGTGGCACGAGGAATACTTGTACACTCATACTTAAGAGCATGAGGAACCTTATATACCAAAAAATTCTCTTGAAGATTTTCTACTTGAGTTCACACAACTCAGAAAAAAATTCTTCCATCGAATAACATCTGCCACTGTAACAACAGCAGAACCTGCTAGGTTTCAGTGGTGCTGCAAGGAAAACAAACCAAAGAGGAATATTTGGAAAGGAGCAGTAACTGAAGTGAAACCCCACTTTGTTGAGATGCTACAAGGGCTTAATGGACTCCATTCACAATTCAGATTCATGACAATTTTTTAAGTCTCTGTTTTTTTTTTATCAATCTGACAAATACAGGCTTGAGACTAGATGCTCTTAAAATAGTATAGAGGTTTTTTATTCTTGAATAATTTTGTGCAAGTCATGGGAAATTCAGTTATTTTATAAAGTCATTGCAGTCAAAATGGTACAGCTTTTAAGACTCCTTGTTTTCTGTCAGCAATAAAGTTAAGGTTGATTCTTGTTTTCAGCTCTACAGCTGTGCCAGCCTCCTAAGTACTAGAAAGCTGGTCACTCGGCCAGCAGCAGTACAACTCCCTTTTTTCCTTTCACTGAAAGAAGGAGACAGTCTAGAGTACGTCACATCTGCCTTGTCCAAGTTTGCAGGGTTGAGATTTAGCACTGCACACATCTCACCAGGTGTGGCTCCCAAAAGGGAGCTTGGTGACACAGACCTAGAGAGGTGTGTGCCAGTTTTACTGCGAAGCTCTAACTCAGGGGAAGGGTTCTGGACTCTGGCTCTTTGGAGCCTGACTTTCCAGAGCTGGCTGAGCAAGACAGCTTGATAGCCTGCTACCAGGGAACAGGGCAGCACCAATACAGACGGGTACTGGGCAACTTCTGGACAAACTGCTGTAGACCCACCCAGACTTGGAAATCCCATACTAACTCACAACCAATTTGTGTCTCCTCCAGAACAGTGATTTTCTTTCAACTTTTACTGGTCATACCACTCAGAAGAAGAATGTACAGCATTTTAGGGGGGTAAAGGAAAAGGAAGGAAAGAAAAAGAGGAAGTGAACATCACGGTTTTTTGAAACCCATGAGATGGTAAAGTCTTGGCTGCAAACAGCAGAGTACAAATTGATCAATGTTAAAAACATTTTCAGATTTCTGAAATTAATTTAAAACATCAGTGAACAAGAAGACAAGAAAGAACAAGTAGCAACTCTACATTGACAATGCTTGTCCCGTTTGCCATTCCAAAAGATATTAAAATGATGAAACTCAGAGAGAAAGCACTGAAACTCAGGTATTTATATTCTGCACAAGACATTTCTTGAGCTAGGATAATCAAGCAGCCTACGCTGCAGTGACCAGGTTATGCATCCCAGTGCAGGAACCACGTGTTTGGAAGTATGCAAGAAGCACAGGTTCAGGAAGTAAACTGCAGAATAACACAAGTACTGGAGTCCAGGGTCCTGAACCCTCAACCTGCAGGCTGCTTCTCCCCACAAGTTACTGTCCCACTAATGTTTCAACAGGTGATGCAAACAGCTTTCCTTATACAGGGAAGCTTAAAAACCCTTGTAAAGTAGCTATCTTGAGCTGACACAGCTTTGCCAAACTTTACATGGAGATTGGGCTGAAGGATTTGCTCCTACCATGCACTGAAATCAAGGAGGGAGGAGAAACACAACTGGTTTAGGTGGTTCTGAACACAATGAAAAAGAATTTTATTGTACAAACAAAATCTGGAAGCATTTGCTTTGAATAGCTCTGTTCTAAAATATCTGACTTGAAATCTGGCAGGGATGCAGGGTGTTTGTATGAGGGATGTATCTGTCCAAATCAGAAGCCCTCAGGGATAAAAAACAGTATACATGGGCTCAGTGTCTTCTTTGGTTTGAATACATACAACCTCCAAACACTTGACAAGAATTTAACATCTAACAGCTTTCTGGAAGTTTGAGCACTGAGGAGCTGCTTACGTGCATCATCACTTTGAATACAGGTTTGTATAGTTCATGACTACACAAGCAAATTAATTCAGGGTAGAGATTGTGGCTGTTCTGTAACAGCCACTCAAAAGGACAGAATCTGTTATTATTTCTGAACACTATTTGGAAATACTGCATACTTCTGAACAAAAGTAACACTTCTGTAACAGAAAGAAGTAGAAAAAAACAAAAGAAAAAAAAATAATTCCACGTATTTCACAACAGACCCTCCTCCATATGGGAAGCTGTTCCAGAACAGCTAATTCTAATTCAAATATCCTAGTATTGGTGAGACATAAAATTGCAATGCTAAGATTGGCAGAGAAGAAGATCAAAAATGTTTTCTTGAACTGTTAAGTAGGTCCCAGTGCCATGGCCACTAATGACTCACCCTCCCCAATAACTCAAAGCAACTCTGTTCATTCATGGTGTACTAATTGTACCCTGAAAACACTTCTTAGTTAAAGACTCTTAACTTTTTTTTTTTTAAGGTATGTAAAAATAAGGTCTAAAGAAAAGAGTATCCCTGACGTTTCAAGTACATAGGACTGTCCTTCTGCCTAACCCCAGCTTGTTGGCTTTCTAATAGATCACACAATGTATGTTTATACATGGGCTCCGACAGAGTAGGACTGGATGGGAGTTTGATCCACGTGAAATATGGCAGTTCTCTGAAGGGCCTTGCTCTTCTGGTCCTCAAGTTAATTTATTTTTTGCAATCCCTCTGTAAATTCTAATTCACAACACAAATGTCTGTTTCCTTTTATCATTACATTAGCCCCTTGTGAACTACATACGAACTAAAACATCCAACGGCAAACAGAGTCTGCAGGAGCTGCTCAGCCTGACCTGTATTGGCTTGAATCTGCTTTGCCAGACCTCTTTTCAAAATTGCAAATTACAGAATCATTTAGGTTGGAAAAGACCTTTAAGATCATTGAGTCCAACCCTCAGCCCAGTACTGCGAAATCCACCACTAAACCATGTCCCTAAGTGACACATCTACGTGTCTTTTAACTACCTCCAGGGACAGTGACTCAACCACTTCCAATGCCACAAATACTTTTAACATACAAGAATGCACACAGATATCAGGGAAAGCAGCCTTCTTCATGTATGGAGCTCCAATTCTCTAGGTCATTTCCTCTAATTTCAGTTGTCTAAATAGTGAGGTAGAGCTGTCTCAGTTCTCCCTGTCACTAGATGGAAACTCTCATCTCAAGAACAGCACTCTTTGCATCCTAAAGAGATACTTGAGAAGTGTATTGAACTCCTCAGGTGTGTGTTTCATCCTTATACAGGGAACCTAAAGTGAACAGCCTAAGTCAGCTTTCAAAAGTTAAATATCTGAAGTCAGGGATATCTGCTGAGAGCAGAGGTCTGCTGCTGTAGATGCAGAAGAAGGATATGGGCTATGTCAGGAAGACTATGATAAGAATTAGAAGAGAGGAAAAAAACAGCAACATAAATTGGGTCACGAATCTGTTCAGGCATAATTTTAGCAATAACTAAAATTAAGAATGCTGCTGTACCTACTACCAGTCTGCAAGGCAGGCTCACACAGCTCACCATCAAGTACTGCCCCATAGACAGACCTCTAGAGAACTTTTTGACCTGGTTAAGATTTTTTTTTTTCCCCAGCAGGGAAGTTAGGATATTTTAAAAAGTAGCAGAAACAAGGAAATGGACATACCATTCTATTTTCCATTCTCACCTAATAAAGACACCAGCTTGGATTTTTACACATCTCCCTCCCCCAAACGTGGTCAGGTATTAACACAAATTTCCTAATTAAAGACTTTGAGCGGGCAGTCACGGCCAAGTAAAACCAAGGCACAGGCAATCTTGTTCCTCACGCCTAGCCCAGAACCAAAGGCAGCAAAGGAGGCCGCAAGGTGGGGGCACCTGGCAGAAGGAGGGAGGGGGGACGGAGTGAGGGGCAGGAGGGAGCACGGGGAAGTGTAGGGGAGAGGGAGGGAGAGAGCGGGGGTGAGAAAGGGTACAGAGAGGGGCTGCAGGGTGAGGGGCCACGGGCCCCATCCTCCACAGCCCTGCCCTCCCCGCCCCGTTCTGAGGGACGCCGAGTGCGTCCGACGAAGCTGCCCGGCGTGTGTTGGCGCGATAAGAGCAAGACAGCGCAGTAAAAACAAACAACCTGAAGATAGCGGCAGGCCGGACGGGGGGAGAGGGACCGGAGCGATATTTAAACACCTCTCTCAGCAGGGCGAGGGTCGCCGGCCACAGCCAGAGCACGGCCGCAGCCCCACTGACCCCGACCTGCCCCACGGCCTGCGAGGGCCCGGCCCGGCCCCCGCATCGCACGCCGCCAGCCGAGCCCGACCCCAGCTCGCAGGGCGAGCGGCTGTGCCCGCTCCCTCCCGGCCCCTGGCACTCACATCGCCGCTGCCCCGGCAGCAGCAACGCCGCCGCTCCGCTCCGCTGCCCTGCGCTCCCCTCCGCTCGCCGCGCCGCTGAGGTGGGATGGGGCGGCGCCGGGAGAGGGAGGGAGAGTAGCGACGGCAGCCGGGAGGGCTCAAGCCGCGCTCTCCGCCCCGCCTTTCTCCACCCCCTGCCCTCTCCCGCTCCTCCTCCCTCGCCCCCGGGGAGGCGAGCGCTCAGCGGGAGCCGCCCGGACAGGGAGAAGGAGCCGCGGCCGGTCGGTGAGTGCCGCCCGCCGCTCGAGTCCCGCGCTCAGGGGCACCGGGAGGCTCAGCCGCCTCCCCTGCGGTGGGGAGAAACAGCGGGGGCCACGGGTTCGAGCCCCGCCGCTGGCAGCGCCCCGTGCCGGGCAGTCCCTGCCCCGCGGCACCCGTGGGAGATGGCAGGTGTCGGGAGAAGGGCGGTGACAGGGTGCGAAGGGGCTGGGGAGGCAGCGGGCCCCGGCCGGGCGGCGCTGCGCGCCCTAGGGCGGCGGCCAGAGGAGCCCCGTCCCGCCGGACGCCGCTGCCAACTTTTCTGGGAGTTCGGCGGCGCGCGTGTCGAGAGGGCTCCTGCTGCGTGCCGGTTTCACCTCCTCCCTCTCCCCGCTGGCCCTGACGCCGCCGCCCTGCCCTCCCTCTCTCCCTGCCTGCCTCCCTCCCGGCCGCCCGCTTCTCCCGCGCCGTGGGGCAGCCGCGGCGGGGGCCGGGGGGAGAGGAGGGGGGCAAGGGCCGGCGGCGTCCCGGGGCTGGGGGGGACGGGGACGATACGGTCACACTCGGGCGTCCCCGGCACATTGGCCCCCGATCGCCTCCTCCGCTGCTTCCCCCACAAATAAAACTCACCCCGGGCTGGTGTTTCACAGCACACCCTCACCCCCCGCACTTTCCCCCCCCCCCCCCCCCCCCCCCCTCGCCCG